CAGCGTTTCGTGCGAAAGGATTCCACGTCGTCTCGGTGGGGTACAGGCTGTCGCCGCAGGTTGGGCTGCAGGAGATGATCCAGGACTGTGTCGACGGGTTGGAATGGTGTCGCCGAAATCTCCCTTCGATCGTACCCATCGACATTGACGCGTTTGCTATCGGAGGCGACTCGTCCGGTGGCACCCTCGCGACGTTGCTGGGGCACATCGTACGCCCGCGACCACACGCCGTGTGCGACGTATACGGCCCCGTTGACCTCGTGGACATGTACTACACGCGTAAAGCCAAAGTCCCCGATGATGCGTGGGCTCAGCGCTGGGGCGATAGGTACACCGACTCGCACAATCGGGCGATGATAGCGGACAGGGACCCGGCAAAAGCGATCACCGCAGCACCGTTTGGATGGGAGATCAACCACGTCCCCATCGAGCAAACCCGAGCTCGCTGGGCACGGCCCGATTTCGAATACTCCACCCGGGTGTTTGCCCAGACCCAACTCAAGGATTGGCTCGCGTCCATGGGCCTCGGCCTCACCGCACTTCTCCGTCTCGACGAGCTGCAACACGAAGAGGACAAGCTTGAACGGTGCAGAAAGTGGTCCGCGTATCACCTCCTCGACAAGACTTACCCTCCGACAGCCTTCTTCCACGGCGAGGCGGACGGCGCCGTGCCCATCACGGCGTCTAGGCGCATGGCACAGCGGCTCAAGGAACATAGCGTGGACGTGTATGAGAGCTACTATCCCGACGGGCTACACGGGTTTGACCAAGAGCTGAAGGTGGGTGTTGCTTGGGGCATCGCTGATACCGTCAGGGAGCGGATACGGAGGGCTGGGCGGAGTACGTAGTGCCCGTGGTGGAGTTCGTGGATCGTCATGTAAGGGGCATGTGAGGGGCATGTAAGGGGAGAAGGACTTGGGGTAGTAGATGATGCATCTGGAATGCCGTAGTCGTTGCCCTCCTGTCACCTTTGTCGGTGCGATCCCAACAGGCTCGGCAGCGGTCGAGACGCACAAAGCTCTCAAACGGGAAGTCCATGATGGGACAATGAACAGCGGCGCCCGGCCGAGATGGAGTCAGACGCAGACACGAGAGATTTGAGCGTCTCCAATGACAGGCGGCAACTCCGGTGGTCAGCCGCCCCAGGACACACGATTAGGTGGCTAACGGAAGCGGTTCCGGTGACATTCTTAAGCCTGAGACGGGACCAGGCGAAGTCTCTCCGGGACGCCAAGCTGAGCACTGATCCCTTACCGCTGGCTTTGACCTACCTCTCCATTCAGCCTGTCGAACATGTCAACTGGCTCGTCCCATTCCTCAGCCTTCGCTATCCACTTCGATTGCACCCCAATATCTCGGCATCCTCCCAAAACGTTCTATGGACCCCAGTCCCAATCCATCTATCTCGACCCTGTCTCCGGCCCTGGCGGCTCCCAGGCGCTCTCAACAGGTTACCCAGTCGATGAAATGACCGCCGCCAGTATTACTGGAAGACGGGGTAGCAAGTTCACGAGGGAAGAAGGCTCTGGCCAGGCGAGGGAAACCCCGAGTGTGGCACATCATCAAGCGTCTGCTCAGCCTGCTACGACTCAGAAGACCGCAAAGGCAATGGACTTGCCTTGTCCGCGGGCTAGCGAGTGAGGAGTGGATGCGTCTGCACGGGCAGTAATGAACCACGCCCAGCTGGCACACAGCCTCCGCCTCCAAGGGGGCAAAAATCAAAAGATTAGTGGCCGAAGCCACTTCAGCCTCCTGTGGGTCTCGAACCCACGACCTGCCGATTACGCTGCTTGGTGAAAGCATGCATAAGAGTCGGCTGCTCTACCGACGGAGCTCAGGGGGCGCTTCTTGCGATGTTGGGAGACGATAGAAGTCATATATAACATGAATGGTCAAATATAACATGAATGGACCCGAAGGAGATTGCCACCGTTACCGCGGCCCCAAAGGAATTCCGCCACATCCTCTGATCCCGCTTCGATTTCGCCACATCGACCGGCTTGTAGGGCCCTCCGGAACCCCGCGGGGGGGGGGGGGGGGGGGGGGGGGGGGGGGGGGGGGGGGGGGGGGAGCTTTCTGCGATGTCGGAGAGTACGAGGAGTCATATATATCTCGGAAAGACATGAAGGAAATACAATAAGAGGGGATGTCACCGTCACCGTGGCCCAAGTGAAATTCCGCCACATACTTTGATCCCGCTTTAATTTCGCCACATCGGCCGGCCTGTAATCCCGTGGCCAATGATGAATGAGTCGTAGAGTACCTGTACTGTATGTAGGTGACTGCATCGGAGAGCAGCCCCGGACGCGCAGCTTTCTCATACCCACCCCAATCTGGCCGTCCCGCGCCGTCGAATGCCCCTCTCGCAGCGATAGAATGGCATGTCACTTCGACGGTCTGGCCTGCCAGCGGTAGGAGTACGCGCTAGATCCACCCAGCCATTTGTCGATATCATAAGCTTGACCGAAGCGCGCAGTCAGGGGAATGCAGAGAACGGCTCGGCTGATATGCTCTAAGTCGTCATGAAGAGATTCAAGGGCACCTATATCCGCATTAGAATTGTCAAGTGTTCGCCAAGATATCACCGTGCCCCCGGGACATGTGTCTTGACCTAGGCACCGGAAGCTGCTCACAACGTACAGTATGTCCTGTAGATCTCGTTATAAGAACCATGCTTCCGCTCGATGGGGGAGCTATCTCGTGCATATAAGTATCGCCCTGCGGATACTAGATATTCCCCATCGGATGAATCGTTCTTATTCAAAGCCTACATCGTACTCGTACAGTAATCACAGCCTCAAGCACGGTCTAAGCCTGACAGCATGCTTCCAAACCGCCGTGGTCTGGTGGACTGGAAGGCTGATCTTCTTATGTCGACGAAGACTGTAGACTTCCCGTCATCGTACCCTTCGGCTCATGGTAGATAGCGCCGTGATGTAGCAATGTTCGCATGGGACGCATCGGATCGGCTGCGTGGTCTTGTGGCGAGCGTAGGAAACGACTATCACAGTCGACAGATACAGTACTGTATACACCAGGTGCCGCAGCTCTAGTACAGATACACCGTGCACGAGCCGTCTTTTCCCTTGCAAGTGACCATCTGAGACGAGTCTGGTACATTCGTGAAAAGCAGCAATGTGGCTGTGAGATATGACATGTCAACTTATCGCCGCGCCACAGGGGTCGAAGTTGATCCCCTTGCCATAGCTATACACGCGACCGGCGCAAGGTCGGCGGGAAAGTGGAGAGGGGTCCTCGACAATGAGACCTCGCGACCGTTTTGGCTTACGGCCAGAGTGGAGCCGTCGGCGTACCCGGCCACGGTCACCTGCACTGCACATGCGTCTTGAGATGTCTGCCAATCGACTGTATCTTTCGCGCATCATCGCACGACATACCAAGGCTTCTTCTGGCGTGGGACCTCTGATTCGGGATCTGTAAGGTCAGGGGCTACAGTGGCTTACTTGAGATCAACTTGAAGGAGGTCGTCTTGAAGGTCCACAAAAACATGGGAGTGTTGGGGAAGGCGAGGAGCATCGGGGCGTAGGAGGTAGCGGTAGCCCGCCGCTACATGTACCCTAGGGTACGAATATATGTACATAGGCATCAGTGCCTCGGATACTAGTAGCCTCCCTCCGTGAGTTTAGTTCATAGATTACACATGTTCGTATCGGCGTATGCGAGTGCCCTCAGGCCTGATGCGCACCACAGTGCTTGCAAAGAGCAGGGAATGCGTAAACAAAGTCGAACCCACTTGCGAGTTATGCACAGATCTCCCTGACGTGCAAATCAACTGCCAAGATCGTCCAAGTGATTGCACTGTGACGTCGCATCGGGTGTCAAGGTCTCCCCTCGACGACCTCTCGCTTGACATCAACTGCGGCAGTACAGCAGTCGTCCCTTCCGTTGGCGTGGTCCGAGTGAGCTTCTACCTCTATATGCGTTCTTCGAGGCTCCGCGGCGTGACCCCTTGGGCACCCGCCAGCAGGCTCAGCGAAACGGGTCCGCGGGCAAACGGAAGCTAGAAGTGAAAGACCCCGCCGACGTTTCTTTCCGAGCTTATCTAGTGCTCTCCTCCATAACGCAGTCTTGTTCATAGCGCGGGAATTCAAGCTCGTCTTTTGCGTGTCACTCTTCTGCGGGTTTGGAGCGCCTATAGAGAGGCCGAGTTGTGAGAGGATCTTCAAGTTCTAGGCGGTGCATCATCCTTCCTCACAACATACCGGAGGGTTTCGTCAGCGTCGCCGACATGGGATGTCGGACAAGCGAAGATGGCGAGCGCTGACCAGCAGGCCCCCACCACCATCGTGCCTCCACCAGCATCGTGTGCTTCCTTGTGCGCCCCGCGGGAAAAGTTGTATACATCTTTCTCCGGCCAACAGCGCCTGATAGGCACACATCTCGCTGCACTGTGGCGGCTGCGCTCGTAGGCGGATGAGACTTCACCGCCATATTCCAGGACATGTCGCGGACGCAGGGGCTCGGGCTTGGCTTGGTGGGCGCACACTTCCTCGGCGATACGGGGTCAGTTGGCAGTTGGCGTGCACGTCGAGTTGAAAGCCCTGCAGGTGGGCGAGCGACGACGCAGAACAATCCTGTCTTATATTCCTCCCGACTGATCCTGAAGGCTCGCCGATTCTGCAAACGTCGATCATCCCCGACAGTGCGTCAGTGATAGACTGCAACTTGTTAGCGATTGTGGCGGGACCGAGCCCCCGGAAGCCAATGTGGCACTCCATGTTTCCGCCCATTACCCGTCGCAAGGTGGCCATCGATGTCTTTGTGTTTCTTTTACATCTGCCGTGCGAGTTGTTCAACGGGAACAAGGGTGAGGCAGACACAGAGGAGAGGAGACAGGAGGATAGAGGAGGGAACTCACAATGTTCCAAATGCAGGGCACGGGATCAAATTGAACCCACCATAGGTCACTGAGTCTCCCTGCCGTGCTTTCTTTTCCATGTTATAAAGGACTTCGAACGCTCTCCCACATCGCAAGAAGCGCCCCCTGAGCTCCGTCGGTAGAGCAGCCGACTCTTATGCATGCTTTCACCAAGCAGCGTAATCGGCAGGTCGTGGGTTCGAGACCCACAGGAGGCTGAAGTGGCTTCGGCCATTATCTTTTGGCTTTTTGTTGTGTTGGCTCTGGTAGTACCTCGAAGCGCATGGGGTTTGTAGCGCACCACGAGAGCCTTCAGCGAGCAGCGAGCAGAGTGGAACCAAAAAGGTAGGCGGGAGGCAATGAAGGAGGGACAGAAAAGGGGGCCACAGGTAGAGGGGTAACGTGATGAATGTGGCACTTATCGGCCTGCTGAGCGGTAAGATCATGGCCGCCGCTGCGACTTGCCCATGAGTCCCTACTCCTAGCTCCCGATTGGGAGCGCCGAGTCGATAGCATGATTCGGTGCCATCACCGTGGACTGACGCGCCGATCGTCACCACGCACTGCAGGTATGTACACCCTAACTCCATGCATCTGCTTTGCACAACAGTACAGACGGTTTCACCTCTCGCCTCCGCGACGATGTTCCGCCTCTCTGAAGGTGACCAAAGCCGTTCCGCGTCGTTCCCCAGGTCGTCAGAAGAGCCCACAGCCAAGCTTCACCCCCTCGCTCAGATCTGCCAACATCATGCTCAACCCTCTCGTGTGCCTGTTCACACTCTCGTCGTTCACCCAATGGGCGGTCGCTGTCCCTTCAGAGGGCTCCGACGCCGCGGTGGCGGCAGCCGCGGCTTCGGCTGCGATTCGGAGCAACTCCAATCGATGGCTCACCCGGATCACCAGATCCTCCCGAGAAAGCGCAGACGCCGTCCATGTCCCCCTTCTCCCCGACACGTCTCGTTCGCCATCCGGCAGGGTCATGTCCCGCCGGCTCAGCTCGACGTTCAGCCAGAGGTCTCTCCACACGGGTTGATCGAGGGCCCCGGCCCGGAGGGATGACCCGATGTCGCTGTGCTACAGATGCTCAGGCCGACATTACTCTAACACGCCCCACTCACCCACGCCCAGGCGTCTTTGAAGCATTCCAGCCGGAAGCCGTTTTCAAACTCTGGCAGGAGTGACCCGTCCTCTGTGAAGAACGCAAGTCGCCCATCGGGCGCGTCGCGGTAGTGCTCCACCACCTGTTGCACGGTCGGGATCCCTGTGAGACTGACTTGGCTGGCTCCATCAGTTACATTATGTTCGTGTGACCCAATCAGACCGCGCTCACCGCTCAGGTCTCGTCGATGTATCTGAGCTCTGCGGGGCCTGCGTGGTGGCTTCTGTACGCCTGCTCGTCCCCGAAGCGGTGCTCGAGGGTATTCCGGCAGGCCGAGTCGTAACGTTCTCACCAGGCCGGCCCGAGCGTCTGAGCTCCGTCGAAGACGACATCGGTGGGGGTGGGCGGTGACTCGGTGGTCTTGCCCCGGCGGCATCGTCGTACCGAGGCGGGAACTGGTTGGTACTCCTGAACCCGCCTGTGACGACGAACGACGAGTTGGACGTTCGCCCACCGCCAGATCGCTCGGACACGTGCCCCGGTGGGCTGAGCATCGTAGGCGGCTGATGTACAGACGACATTGAACTTGGAATTGCTCTACGCTCAGTAGCGAGACTGGCCAAGCCTCCCGTTCCGCGAGCGTCGACGGCTGGACCCTCACCCTGTTGGTCCCCCGGCGAGCTAGTTCCGGGAGCCGGGCCCACGTACGACGGCGGCCTGAGCTGCCTCTTCAGATAATGTATATCCCTCGTAAACCCCTCCGAAGAGCTATCGAAGTAGTCCCGGAGACTGTCGACCTGGGAGCCCAGCCGGATCAAAGCGTTGGCGAGCGAGTCGGTCATCGTAGTCAGCACGGCTACTTCAAGTCGATATTCGTCGACTTCGGTTCGTAGCGTCGATACGGTCTCGGTGAGCGAGGCGATCTGTGTGTGCAGATCGGATTGGTCGGATTGGTCGGGTTCATCGGATTCATCGGGATCACCAGAGGCCTGCAATGCACGGCCGGGATCATCAGCATCAACCCGGCGCCTGAAGGTGGGAGGCTCGGATGAATATTCCTGTGAGGAGCATCTCGTATCGGAAGACTTACCCGCCGGTCAGATGGATTGGGTACCTGTCTATCAGCCATAGGGTTAGCTTTCTTGATACGGTGGCAGCTGAGACAATCTGGAATTGGAATAGGTCAGTGGGGACGAAGTAAGCTACGCCGGTTATAACTGTGGCGGACGGTGATCCGCGCCTTCGCGATCACCGGGCACGAGCTCATCATATGACGACAGTACCTTCGCGCTCATGACGCAACGACAGAGCCTTCGTCGAGAAGGAATCGGATCTGGTGTGCGCGGCGAGAGTCGCCTTCCAGAACAGAGCTGCATCATTGATGAGACACTGACTAAGGAAGTCTTCAGCCGTCGTTGATGCCAAGCCATTGGAGGAACTGCCACACCACTCACTCGCCACGTGTTTTCAAAACTGATCGCCACATCCCCCATTCCCGCTTCGCTTATCAACAACAATAACGCTCGCTCCACATTGCACCATTCAATCCTTCACCTCTTCCCGTAGAGCCCTGTAGATCGCAACGGCACGACTGGGACCGGTCCCACGTCCAAGCCTCCCCGACCCCTCTCCTGACGACTGTACATCTATCGGCTCGGCTCGGTCCGACAGGGTTGTGTTTCGTTAGAGAATAAACCGTAGAGTCCCGTCCGAACGCCATCGCCCGGTCCCGACCGACCGACCCCGCGCCACTGTACAGCCCCGCGTCGACTCGACGTCGCCGGAATAGACATACATAGACGGGATCGACATAGACATAGACACGAGCATCCTATCCAACTTCAGCCCCGAGGACGTCGCAAAGGATCCACTCAAACTCGCTATAACGACGTTTTAACGCGCTGTTTTCAAGGGGAACACCCACGCACGTTTGATCGACCCCACCCCGCCATTCCCTCCGTTGTCCACGTTTATCCCCTTGTCGACGCGCCTGTATGACCCACGACTTGCCGACTTGTCAACTTGTCTTCCACACCTCTACATAGATCATAGACACTGCATAGAATCCTCACGCAGCCATGTCGAACCCGACCCACTTCAAGCCCGACGCCCCAGCGTCTCTCGGCACCCCGGCCCTCTCCCCTTCCACATCCGCCGACGCCTCCCCCGCATTCTCCACGATCCTCGAGTCGCCCAGCCTCGAGCCGCTCGACCTGGACAATGCCTCGCAGTGGAGGATGCCAGAGTGCTGGGGACACCGTGGCGTGCGTGACACATCCGTCTCACAATCCTCGTGACACGAGCTGATCCGTCTCAGGCCAGCGCGACGTACCGTGCGTGTCGCGCCGCTGAAAGAGAGTCCGCTTGCTCACTCGTGTAGCCGAGAACACCCGCGCATCCTTTGTCGAGGCGTGCAAGCAGGGCGCCGACGGGATCGAGACGGGTGAGCGAAACTGCGCCGCCGGAACTGACTTCAGACATCCACATCACCGCGGACAACGTGCTGGTCCTGTTCCACGACCCGAAGCTCGATCGCACGACCACTGGCACGGGTCGTATCCGGGAGCAGCCGTGGAAGGAGGTTTTGGAGTGAGTCGGCACGGCACCGTGGCACCGTGGTGACGCCGCGTGGTGCTGACGCCGCAGACACGTCCGAACCCGGGAAGAGCCTGTCCAGCCCATCCCACTCTTCTCCGAGGTGCTCGACATCCTTCTCCTCCCCGAGAATGCCCACGTCAAACTCAACGTGAGTGAGCCTCGCGCCGGCTCCGCTGACCCGCAGCTCGACTGCAAGGTCGACAATGACGCGGTGAAGCTCTTCACCTTGGTTCGGGACGTGATCCAAGGATTCCCCAACTGGCAGAAGACGCTTGCCCCTCGCGTCGTGCTCGGTCTCTGGCACGTGAGTCCAACCCACACCGCGTCGCTCACGACGCAGCCGAAATTCCTCCAGCCCGCATCCAGCCTCCTCCCTTACCTCCCGCGCTACGCCATCTCCATGTCGCTGCCCCAGTCCCGCCGGTACTTTTGGGACACGGTCCACGGCTTTTCAGTCTACTACGAGGCCCTCGCTACAGCCGACGGTCAGAGGTTCCTCGCCGAGTGTCACGCCGCGGGCAAGGGCGTCTGCGCGTGGACCGTCAATGGCCGCGAGGAGATGCGCGAGTGTGCGAGGTGGGGGGTGAGGTCGATCATCACGGACAAGCCGGCGTTGTGGAGGGGGATCAAGCAGCAGGCAAGTGGCGTAGCTCCGCGCACACCAATGACGCTGACAACCCCCGCAGATTCTTGCCGACCGGAGCAAGGCGCTCCGACCCACGCTGCAAACTTACATCCTCCCCTGGGTGTCCAGGAAAAACTACTGGTTTGACGTCGCCAATGAAGCGCGCAAGGAGACCGAGTACCTCGAAAAGGAAGGCGGCCGGTTCGACGACGTCGAGATACCCGAGCTGTCGCTGGACGTTGCGGGGGTGGAGAACGCAAACGTGTCAAACGTGCTCTGAGCGAATCGAGGCCTCGGTGGCGAGTGTATGGAACGTGCGGGGAGGGTTGGGCCCACTCGACTTGGCAGCACGCCTTGGCTCGGTGAGCGATGGCGGTGTGGAGGTCGTACGCATGGATCGGCGGATTGGCGCCCCGTGTGGGCTGATGGAGAAGTGGGAGAGATCTGCGGCATTCCCGGTGTCGCCGTGGACGTGCCGGTGTGCCGAGCCGGTTTGACGGACAATTGCATCTGTACAAAGTTATGCCGCATCACGCAGTGCATTCCGTATCTATGACTCGTTGTGTATACGCTTGCTCCACAGTCACTCCCGCCGAGACGACGTGCGCCTTGGCAGCTTGGCAACAGACTCATGATTATCTTGATTGTTCGGTCATGAGTCATGGTGTACACAAACGTACGGCCGAGATGCGGAATGTATATGGTTCAAGGCGCCCGATGAGCGAAAACCGAGGATTGGGATCGGTCTGTACCTGTACCTGTTCCTGGCTGTTCCTTTGTCCCTGAGAGATTACAGTAGAAGACGGTGATATCCGGCTGCACCGCATTCCATTGTTGCCGACGAATGTCGGTACGTCAACGCGCTCTGAGCGATTTATCGCAACGGCACGTTCATA